ATTAACATCGATGTAATTTATCATGTTTAACATCGATGTATTTTGATCGATGTTTTTATTAACATCGATGTTTTGAATGCTGTGTTTTCAAACAGATGTTTCTACAAAAATATCTATACTTTAAACATCGATGTCGGCTCAAGGCGTTAACACCACGGCTCAGTACCCACCACTTCCGAGTAAACATGCGATGTATTTTGTCGATGTTTTATTAACATCGATGTATTTTGATCGATGTTTTATTAACATCGATGTAATTTGATCGATGTTTTATTAACAACGATGTATTTTGATCGATGTTTTTATTACATCGATGTAATATTGATCGATGTTTTATTAACATCGATGTATTTTGATTCGATGTTTTTATTACATCGATGTATTTTGAAATCGATGTTTTTATTAACATCGATGTTTTGAATGCTGTGTTTTCAAAAAGATGTTTCTACAAAATATCTATGCTTTAAACATCGATTCGGTTGAGGGCGGTAACACCACGGCTCATATCCCCACCCACTTCCGGAGATAACATTCGATGTATTTTGATCGATGTTTTATTAACATCGATGTTACAACAAAAATATCGATTCTTTAAACATCGATGAACCTGATGTTTATTTGAAATCGATGTTTTGAGTTCGATGTTTTTACGTTTTCGATGTTTTATTAATGCAAGAAAAATTCCTATAATAACTATTTTGTAAGAGTAAAATATATAATAACTGATGCTATCACTGTGCTTGTGTTCGATTCAAAGGATCGCGTTTTGTATTATCATCGGGCAGACTACTATTCCTCGCTCGAGATGCCTTGGTATATTGTTTGTCTTTCCTCTGAATTGAAATAAGCGTTTTTAACTTTGTTTTCTGTCAAATGTTAATTTTAAATTAACATACACAGCAACTGTCAAATTTAATTTTGTTGCGTTCGAATTTAATATTGGAGGTTACTAAACCAAATTTAAAACATTTGCTGTGTATGTTAATTTAAAATTAACATTTTACAGAAAACAAAGGTAAAAACGCTTATTTAAAATAAGAGAAAAGACATACGAAATACCAAGGCATCTGGACCATCTTGGGCGAGGAATAGTAATCTGCTCGATGATGGTAATACAAAACGCGATCCTTTGGTTAGAACACAGACAAAATGATGGCATCCATTTCGTTTGGAAAAGATTCCAAAAGTTGGCTACCAACTAGCTCTAACCAGCATGTTTTGCTATTTTTATATTTTTTGTCCATGTTGTGAACATTTATGAGTGATCCACGTTGCTTGGGCAAGACCCACCGCGGAGGAGATACGTGTTTCCCGAAAGTTAACTCTGGGTAATAATTAATAAAAATTATTAAACTTTTTGTGGAAGATTATTTCCTTTAGCATATTATCCTATAAAATAGTTATTAGCGTCATTTTTCATCTATGAACAAAACATCGAAAACGTAAAAACCTAAAATATCGATGTTCAAAAAACATCGGCTTCAATACATCCATGTTTAAAACATCGATATTTTTTAGAAACATCGATGTTTTGAAAACATCAACATCAATGTCGCATCCTTACTCGCCACCACGGTCCACGGTGATTGTTGGATTTATCACCGAAACAATCGTGTTAAGTACACTAAGAGAAATGTAGTAGAATGTACAAAACATGTCTAGCGAGAGATCATGTAGTAAATATCAGTAGTAAATTTCTGTAGTAATATTCACTAAACATGATTTAGTTACGTTTGGTAAATCAGACAATTCAAAATAGTAAATGAATAAACAAAGAGAATTGTAAGAGGGACGCCCATATATGCTTCATTATTTGTAACAGAAATTAGGCGAAATAAACAATTTTTTGTAAAAAAATTGTACATAAACAATTTTTTGTAAAAAAAATGTACAAAGTACAACTTTGTAACTTTTACAAAGAGTTAATTATATTCAACAGACTTTGTCGGAGGAAAATTTCCAATCAAATCTCCAATTCTGTAGTTTCGATTATTTTCGCAATTTTTGAAAAACAACGAGCAATACTCGAAAAAGGGACTAGCACCATATTTTACGGTCCCTTATTACATATGTGGAGGACTTTTTGAAAATAAATGTTGAACAGTTTTTGAGAAAAAAGTCGTAAATTTTATTAAAAATTATGCAAAAACTACTCGTTTTTTCAAAGAATTGTATTTGACATTTTTTAAAGAGCTAATGTTTTACAGTACACTTTGAGTCTCCATCTGAGTCTGCACTTGAAGTCTCCATCTTCAATTTTGTAGTGTTAAAATTTATTTTTTATCAATTTTCGAAAAATCAGGGATTTGAACGAAAATGATAAGTGCACCATTCTCTTGAACGTACTGTGCAATATTCTGCAACAAAATTTAATCAAAAAATCTGGAGCAAATATTTTTGAAAATTTCGAAAATTTCCGGGTGGCTCTATATAAAGTACCCTCACAATTATAATATCAGTTACAAATTATAGGGACTGCGACATCAGCCACAAGGATTAGGGAATATCAGTTCTGAAAACAATTGGCTGAATGGTTTATGCGCTACCGTTGTGCACAGAGAGACGGACAGAGACGTTTTGCGGTTAATCGATTTTGCAGTGTGAAGAAGGCAGCATACACGGAATTCTGGCTACACCACGTGTTAGAGGAACACGTGTTAGTTATCTCTAAGGATCAGATTTTATTTAGGTAAAATATCTTTGATAGTTGTACGAAGACTAAGAAAAAAATTTAGAATTTTTGCAATTTTAGAAAAATCAGTTTTCCACAAAAATTAAATTTGCTCCATTCTCTTAAACGTCCTTTACACTCTCCAGCAACAAAATTAAATAAAAAACAATGGATCTTATTTTCAATTTTTTTAAAAACGTTCCATGGGCTTTATGTAAAGTACCCCCTTCCCAAAATTAAAATATCGGTTTCAAATCCAAAGAAGCGCATCATCAACCAGATCAATTGAGGAATATTAATTTCAGAGATGGGCGAGATGACGTTTTGCCGTCAATGGATTTTTCGGTATCAAGGACTCACATAACATGGATTTTGGCTACACCAAGTGTCTATGAATTTTTATTTTTCTAAATTTAAAGTCTGATTGTTCGCTTTTTCGTTACCCTGTAATATGACTTTTTTCTGCGGAAAATTCGCAATTTTCTCAGGGGACCCGAAAATATATATTTTCAAGGACTTTTCAAAACCGATATTCCGCATTATTATATAACATTATTTTGAGTACTGTATTCCATATGTACGTATTATACAAAATTGGAATCGTATGAATACGAAAGTGAATAAAAATGGGAAGAAGAGGGTTCCTATTTATGGAAACTGGAGTGTTCTAGGTGCGGAATTGGAGAAAAACGCATGTACCAGGTCTTTGTACAACTCCTGCGCAATGAATTTTGTCAAGATGAACACAAAGCTGAGTTTTTGTTTAAGAACATTAATTTCAGAAACCTTGTGAAACTGGAGCAGAGGGGAGCTAGAATTCTCGCCCTGACAGTAACTGGAATCAATCTACCGTTCTACTTCGTGTTAAAAGTCCACTACTATCGGGACAGCGGCATAAACACAGACTTTTTACTGATGATTAGAGTCATCACAAGACACAGAAATATTTCATAGGAGTGAGATGCGATTGATGATCCGTATTTGGGCGAAAGCTTAAGCCAGAAGTAGGTTAAACGCATTTTTTTAATAAATACAACAAGAGAAAATGCAAGTAATATATCTACAATTGATGTGAAATAAACATTTTAACTTTTAATTTTAAAATATTCATGTATAATTTCTTTCCGCGGAAATTTGTGAAAGGTTATCTGATAAGTAGCCACTCAATTTTCGCTTACAGGTGGTGCTGGAATCAATACGCAATATTTCTATAGCTTGGTGTTAGCTACAAAAACATCTGAAGGAAACAGTTTAAACAATGCTTAAATAGCATCGAAATTCTCTTGGTAGTATTTAAGTTATAGTGAACAAATAAACACCAAGGAGGACGATTCTGGGCGTGTCAACGGTTAAGTTCATACAAGTAACATACATTCATACATATTTGTAAGTTCGAAAAGTGTAGCACATGTTTTTCCTTAGACAGGTGGGGGTGATCCCCCCCCCCCGCTGGATCGTGAAAGCCGGCGCCGACCTAACAGGTATTTCCCAAGCACGTATCTTCCACCAGCAGAGCACGGCCCTAGCTGGAACAAGTTCTAACCTACTGACATGTGTGGTAGTGGAATGCATATCTATCTATCTATCTATCTATCTATCTATCTATCTATAGATAGATAGATATAGATAGATAGATAGATAGATAGATGTGTGTGTGTGTGTACGCGCGGAAGAGGGTGAGGATAGTTTGGGTTCTACTCAGGCATTCCCTTGATCAAACAAACCACGGAAAACTACTTATCAGAGCAGCGTGCGGCTAGAATATCTTCCACACAGCGATTGCATTCGATCTAGCTATCCAGCTAGTGTCGAGAATAAAGTCATCGTCGGAATTCGAACCTAGGATCGCCCGCATAGAGGCCATGGCCTCGTTTAGAGAAATCACGTAAAACTAATTATCAGAGCACAGGGCGGCTAGAATCACTTCCAGACAGCGATTGAATTCGATCTAGCTATCCAGCTAGTGTCGAAAATAAAGTCATCGTCGGATCTCGAACCTAGGACCTCCGGCTTGGAGGCCACGGCCTCGTTTAGAGAAATCACGGAAAACTGTAGAGCAGAGCAGCGGGCGGCTAGAATACCTTCTATACAGCGATTGAATTCGACCTTGCTATCCAGCTACTGTCGAAATCAAGCCATTTTCGAAACTCGAACCTACTGGGACCTTCCACTTAGAGGCTCTGCTGTAAAATCAGCTGATGCCCATAGACACATTTATCGGTACAAGGAAGGCGAATTTTGAAATATCCTCGTAGATATAGATTATGCGGATTGAGTAACGAGAAGCGGGTGATAGGCGGGTGACAAGCTATTGACGCCAGTATCCCTGATGTCGCACGGTTATAAAGGGCGGGCCTCGGCCCTGTGCCAGCACTCGCCTCCCGCCTCTCCTAGCGCCATCACCATGATGCACTGGCTGGGTCTGCTGGCGCTGCTGGGAGCGGTGGGTGGCAAAGTGTACGAAAACTGCGAATTCGCCAAGGAACTCAGGGACATTTACGAGTTCCCTACAGACCAGATCTCCACCTGGGTGTGCATCGCCGATCTTGCGTCCTGGTTGAGAACGAGAAACGTAAGGTATCCGAATGACAGCCCAAGCGAACTCGGCATCTTTGGAATCAGTGAAGGGTAATTATGTTTTAAAATTATTGTCACTACAATTGCGAATTTACAATACGTTCGATTTTGATCACATAGGAGATGATATCAAAAATCAGAGAAGAATGAATTCCCTTTTGAACATCAAGTATGTTTCAAATGTTTTTTTTCTCGATTAAATTATTGTTTAATAAGTTAACTGATAATTGAGTGGTGTGTTCTTTCGTTTTCTTCTTATGTATTTGAAAGCTCTTAGTGATTATCTTGTATCTGAGTTGTATCGAGGTCTTTACAAAGCGTCTTGTTTTAAAGGAATCACGAGACAAAACTGCAAGTTTTTGTTTCTAATTTTGAAAGAATTTCTTTATTTGATTTTCTGGCAGTATCCCACAGTTTAGCATTAGCATATTTTGGTCTTGCCTTGTAAATACGTAGGTAGTTGAATAAAATTTCGGTCAACGAGTCATAACAATTTTAATATTTTAAATTCTGATTATTTCTGCTCAAGATATTTCACTGCTTCAGAACCGATGTGTTGTGTTATGTAACACTATCTTCGAACATTGATCATTTCTTAATGAAAAAAAGTGATAAGTTGAGACTATGCTACATTAACTTTCACCTACAGTTGAAGTATTCATTCTATTTTATCCAGGTGGTCTTCTAAATGTGAAGTACTGACATGCTCAAAATTCACACCCTAATAGCCATAATATCTGCTATAGCAGTGTCCAGTACTTGGCAAATCGGAAGTAGATATAATGTATTAAATGGTCCAATAATACATCCTTGTGACACGCCTGAACATATAGGCTCAAATTTATATACAGATATAGTGTCTTGATACTGTTTACTGCTCCATTCGTATGTATGTGATCCCCACTTTCAAGTCCAGTAAGAATGGTGTAGCAGTAGTTTTATTTTGGAAAATAATCCTTCCCGCCCTACTTTGCCGAAGGTTTGCGAAATATCCAAGAAGGCAGCAGATTAGTAGTTTTGTCCCCGAAATCTTCACAATTCTATGGGTTTTCTCCACCACTAAGAGTCCGTCTGGAGATCTACACTGAAATCCGGAAATTATGTCTTGAACTATAGGCATAAGATATAATTATTAAATATAAAATTTCGGAAGGTTACTCTTAATGCAAACTACCTCCAAAAAATCACAATATCGGTTTCAAACTCAAGTTGATTCAAGTTGAAGAAATTCAAGTTCATTTAAATCGATGTGGGAAATCAATTGCACAAAAAATTGGCGGAACGGTGCAGGCGGTAGCATTGACCACTGACTAACGCATAGACAGATATTTTAACGTCAAACAGTTTTTAGGTATTAAAGACCTACAGAACATGGATTCTGGCATTCTTTTTTCTTTGCAAGGGCCAGGCGGAAAAAGTTAATTTGTCAAGTATTCGTCATTTTCCTGCGCCCAATTACAATACTACGTCCTCTGGCGACGAAAGCGCGAGAAAGTAAAAATTACATGATACAGGAAACCAGACATTCTGCAACTGGAGTATAGTAAAAACTTTGAAGGTATCGTCAATGAAATTAATATTTTGATTAGACATCCTTTGCCTTTTTCCCTTTGATGTTTGCTGCATTTCCACTATCACGTTTGTAAATACACGTACTTCATACAAATTTATGTTCAGTATTCAGTTTCTCAAAAACTCAAAAAGTTCTCTGAGAAAGTGAGAGAGAAATTATGCATTTTCAAATACAGCCATTATCTCCAAAACTGTTTCTAATATTTCGTTAATTTTAATTTACTGATAGGAGTAATTAACTGAATAACATGGCTTAAATGCCGATCTGATGCATTATTTTGATTCTTTATTTAAACAACAAACTCCTTATTTTCTAAGAAGAGAATGGTTCGTAATCGTGTGCTGGAAAATGGTGAATTTCAGACAAAAAACTCTTATTGCGGGACTTTTGTAACAAAATGAGGATCAATCTTGTTCTTACATATTATAAAGTACTACCTTTAGCACATTGTGGTCCGAATTCATGTTTTGTGGTTCCTTGGGACCGAAAAATAGATTGTTAGCAAAACGTACGACTGTATTGGCCCGTCCGCAGATAACGCTTGCGCGTAAACCATTAAGTTGATTTCCTCCAAAACTGATATCCCCCATCGATTTAAAGGAAAAATTGTGGTGGTAATCACATTTTTAGCCAACTCTCCGCACTTTTGAAAATTGCAAAACGTTGACATTTCAAAACTACAAAATTAAACATATATTTTATCTTGAACAAAATCCGCTCATCAGAAAAGGCCAGGTAAAACTTTTTATAAAAGAGGTTGTTTCGCGTAGTTCTACTTGAAATAATGCAATTTATAAAAAAAATCATTTTCTCATATACTATTTTTTACGGATAAAACAAGAGAAGCTTAAACAATTGACGAAAATCTATTTCTTTGCCAACTCTTTACATTTTTGAAAATTTGAAAATAAAAATTTAAGATAGTGCGGAATAATATGGGATGTTATATCACCACTAGTGTAACGTGATTTAATTGTTTCAGGAAATCTAATCCGAGAATACACTAAAAAACATGTTAAAATGTTAATTCAGGACATGTCTTTAGAAAAATGATTTTATTATGGAAAAATCCCTAAAGAAGACGAAAAATCGATCTTTTCAACGGAAATCAACCCTACTCCATTTTTAGCGCTTTTTTGCGATATCCAAGGAAAACGTTCTATCAAAAACTTTGGAGTACTTTTTTAGGATACTTAAATACAATATAGAGGATTCATTTAAAAATCATTATATTCAATCAAAACTCACAGAACATAGAGTTCGTTGCAAGCAATCATAGAACATTGATGTTTGAATAAGTCCTCTAAACGATTTAACTGTTAATATTGAGACCCACTCGCAGACGTTTTGCCGTCAATCGATTTTTCAGGATCAAGAACCCACAAATAATAAATTCAGACTATTCAATACGTTAGTGGAAGTAATGTATTAGATTTATTCATTTTCCTTTGCTAGGGCCTCATAAAACAATTTTTTTGTCAAAAAGTTTATGATTTTCTATTGTTGCATCACAATATATTCTCTTTATGAAAACGTTAAAATTGATAATTTTCTGTTCTTTTCTGTTGTTTATAATCCAAAGAATAAATTCATGATTTTTTGGCGAATTTCATAGTTTTCCATTTGTTTTGAGAATAGAAGTTTTAAAGGGATGAGAAAAATATTTAACTCTCGAGCTGGTGGCCTGCTAAGTAAAATTTTTTTCATTCATTTTTTTTTTCATTTCTCAATGGCATTCAATTTCCTGCTGTCTTTGAAAACTTTCAGCACTGAAGAACGCCGTGGTTGAACATTAGAAGTACTTTCTTCTACCTACTGTCTGTAGAGAGGCTTCTACTGTGTCTACTGCTTCAAGCACATTTAATTTTTTTGGATATTTTCTGTTGATCCCCCCTGTGTTCATGTATCTTTTCTCAGAAACAACCCAAAGAATTGGAGTAATTTAAATTGATGTACTAATTGCAAGACATCAACAAATAATTGAATCAATTAATTTTTGTATTAGTTTCTGATAATATTTTATTTTATGATAAACATCCGTTATCACAACTATGCATTTCTGTTTTGCTCTAGGTTACACCCCTAAGTATTTTTAAAATTCCAGTTAATTAATGTTTTAAAATGGAATCAGTTTGCTTTATATTTAAGAATTAAATTACTAATAAATATTAAAAAATTAAATAAGTTAATGAAGTTCAGTAACAATCCACTGTTTCACAGGAAGTGTCTCTCAGAAAAAAAGAACGGCCCTCCCAAACCTGGTCAAATATGCAATGTGACCTGCGACAAGTTATTGGACGACGACATCGCCGACGATGCGGAGTGCGCCAAACAAATTTACGCCGAAAACATGAGGAAGAAGGGCAACGGCTTTGCCTCTTGGGACGCATATCGGAGTTATTGTAAAAATAAACCACGTACTCTGTCCTTCGTAGCCCGGTGCCACATTTAGTCTCTTTGGTACGTACGTCTTGCTTGCAGTAGCGGCACCAGAGATATTACTCGCGCAACTTTTCTTGAACGATGACCTTGATCCCCCTCCCTTGTGCAATAAACAGTTAAAGGCAAAAGCTCGCAGCGGACACTGATGACAACCTTCCAAGCATTAAAACTTCGTTGGCGCGAAAGAGAAGATAGTCAAAGCCAGTTGCTTTCATAGTGCAGAACTCCTGTTCACATTTATTGTCAATATCGAAAGAAATGGCTGAGTGAGGTCCAGGTCCTTCAAGGGAGTCACCTAAAACTCCCGAAAAAGTTAAGCACAAGATGCAGTTTTGACTTTTATTCCACACACGTTTGCATTAGTTAAAATACTCTAGTGACCGACTCTGTAACTAATACCCACACTCTACCTGAAATCGTCAATCCATCGTTCAAGAAAAGTTGCCCGAGTAATACTACAGACTCGGCGAGGCAGAACATAAAAAAAAATTCAAACGCAATCTTCATGGTATATGATATATTGTATTTTTGTATTGTAGTTCGATCCTCCTATCTTTGAGTGTGAAAAACTTCCATCCTTTCAAAATTAAAGTATCAAATTCAATGTACTACTTTCTTTATATTCAAAGTATGCAATATATCTCTCGTGAATGTTTAATTATAATTGGTATCCTAAACTAGATTTTTATTTTGTATAAATTGTATTTTCAACTACTTGAACGGGGATATATTATACTACGCAGTATTTATTTCATTATAAATATTTGTCAAATTTACATGTTGTTCTTAATTGCCGTTGAAAATCCTTTAAATGACATGGCGTTTTCGAAACTATTTCCTTAAAATGTTATTAGAATAATTATACAATTAAGTCTTTTAAAATGTCCAGAATATTTAACTCCTCTGTTTGGTTATGGTAGCGTAAAGCTCCTTGGAATTTGCCTCAAATTTCTACTGCAGTAAACCTTCATAAGCACGAAATCGCTAAACACGAATTTTGCCTTAACACGAACCAAACTTCGACCCCGGAAAGGAATTACAGTAATACGCACTTTTATAGTACTCGGATAACACGAACTCAGATTATTTCAGACGCTTCGAATTCCTGTTAATGAGAGTTTACTGTATAAACATTAAAAAAAGAATACTGTCTGTCGTATAATAAATAACAAAAGTATTAATTTAATGTAAACCATGTGGCCAAATATATTTAATATAGCATATACGAATATTTTTTTGCACCTTAACAATACCTCTTTGGGTCTAAAAGTTCGTAATGTTTGCGATAAAAATTTTTGTACGTGTCATTTAATTGGTCTATATTATTTTTTCATTGGAAATATAATAAGCCTTCATTTCAGTGTTTAGATTATATTCCTAAAGCAGATATTTTCCCCCATTTTCAGCAAAATTCATAGAATTTTCATTGCTGCATTTGAGTGTTTTGTCGGCACCAAATAGAAAACGAGAAAAATTGTTTCCTTCCTGACATCCCCAAATCCACATAAGTTTTCTTACACGGTTATAATAGATCTTCTTATGTAACTCATAACTGTAGTTATGAACCAAACAATATATGTAGTATATTGTCCCCTATATATAGTTGTTCAATAAAGAAATTAATTTCTGGATGTAATAATGCATTAATTGTACACATTGTTTTTCACATGCTGTGAAGGATCTAACTGGCTGATGGAATGTATATGTTCAAGAATATAAATAACGTCATGTTCTCAGTGACACGGAATAATTCTGTTTAATCGCTCTGAATATCTGCTTCTCCCACTTTTCCATAATCTATTGAATATTGAAACTACTTGAAAAAACTGCTTGAAAAAAATTGAAAATCTATTGAATATTGAAATATTTCAATATTGAAAATATTGAAATATTGAATGGATACTAAGGATGCTAATTGGCTTTCATTTAGAACAATCCTACATTGTAACAAATTTTCCTCTCGACTTCGATTTACTTATAAAAATAATATCCTCAATTTTATGTAAATAAAATAAATAATAAATATATTTGAATACACAACCCAAGTATCACCTTATTGGTGGTAAACAAAATGTTTACCACCTTCATTATTAAATGACATAAGAAACTAATCATTGGTACCGTTTTGAGTTTTTAAGAATCACTACATACGCGTATTGGACTTCAGTCACGTTGCTTCTGGAATCAATCAATTGGAATCAATTTTTCTGAATCAATCAATTGACTCTAATGTGGCTGAGACAAACAAGTGAATTGTAATATTCAATATAACGATAACTCTGATGTGTAATCTCCAACCCCTAGGCTGCAACACTCCGTCAAAAGGGTTCGCAAGTTTCTTAAATCAGGAATGATACGTTATTTATTTCTTCTTTGCAAGTGATGTCGCCATCAAACAGGCAAACTTTTTTAACCGTCATTCAATATCTGGTCCATTAGGTGCAATATTATTATCAGAGTGTATCTGCTCTTCATGTTCAAGCATGCTGTGTTCAACTATTGCATTTTAGAAAACATTTTTCGGCGCAAGAGTTTGGCGTGATCACATGTCTCTATACGCATGACCTTTACGGGCAGGGTTGTTTTCATCATCACCATCATCATTATTATTATTAACTAATTCTTCCCGATTGATTTACTTTAAAAATAAAAAAGTGTTAGTTCCTAAAAACAACATTCATTCCTAAATATAGTTATTCGTAATCACAGCTAAAGTCAGTGCCGTTCAGGATACGATTTCTCATCATAATCATGTGCATACTATTATGAAAAAAATATTCACAATTTTACACATCGCAAGAACATAATTTTCATCTGAAGCATATTTTCTTTATTGGAATTTTTACTTCTGTCTTCTTTAACATCGCCTACAAAAACTTGACAATTTTCGTTTTTCATATAACTCAGAGTTAGCCTACATTTGTGTACACTTGCTTCTTTTTCTTCCACAACACTGCAGCCTTGCGTTACAGTATCGACGATTCCAGCGTTGAATTTGCCGCCTCTTCTGCTTTCGCTGTCTCTCGTGGAGTGAAGCACGGACCCATAAATATTCTGGATTTAATAATTTCCTCTGTAAATTCCCAGCTCAGAGACTGATCTCATATCTGCACAGGAACCGTCAATCTTGAAATTTAGTGTCTCTGAAAACGTCATATCTGCAAACGATACCAACACGGCGTTGGTTTGGAGAACGAATATATCCGTTTGAGAGAGAGAGAGAGAGAGAGAGAGAGAGAGAGAGAGAGAGGGCAGAGAGAGAGAGAAAACGATAGATTTCTGAACAGTGAAGATTATAAATAGGATATGGTAAAATGGTTTTCAAGTATGATTCAATTCTCCGCAACATACGAGTGTAAGTGTGGCATAATTTCACGCACTCCCAATGATAGTTCGTGTTTAAATAGTTAGGCTGATGGGAAATCTATGACGCTTCAGCTCTTCTCCTTCAGAAAGCGATGAGAAAAATACACAATGTCAGCATTTACTAGTGTCATTAGTCTAATTTGTAACATACATTTGCATTGTATACATACACTGAAGGGCTAAAAAAACTGGTACAGTTATGTGCATTGAAATAAAGAGATCTGGAACCAACCACAATATGGTGATCGGTTGGCAATGACTATATAAGACAACCAGTGACTGGCACAGTTGTTGAATCACTTACTGCTGCTACAATGGCTGGTGCTCATGCTTTAAGTTTGAACGTTTCTCTGAGGTCGTGATAAAATTTGGATATTTTCGTACAACCATTTCACGACTGGTCCGTGAATATCGGGAATCTGGTAAAACATCAAACCTCCGACATCGCTGCGGCCGCAAAAAGATCGTGCAAGTACGGGACGGACGACGTCAGAGGAGAGTCATTATACGTGGCCCAGAAGTACAACACTACCCCAAATTGCTGCAGATGTAAATCCTGGGGCAACAATAAGAGTCAGCGTGCGAACCATTCAACGAGACATTATCGATATGGGGTTTCAGAGCCGAAGGCCCACTCGTGTGCCCTTGATTACTGCACGACACAAAGTTGATGACTGGAAACACGTTGCCTGATCTGACGAGTCTCGTTTCACATTGTTTAGAGCGGTTGGATGTGTACAAGCACGGCGACAACCTCATGAATCCATAAACCCTGCATGTCAACAGGAGAATGTTTAAGATGGTGAAGGCTCTGTGATGGTATGGGGGCGTATGCAGTTGGAGTCCTATTGGACCCCTGGTACGTCTAGATACGACTCTTACAGGTGACTCGTGCGTAAGCATCTTGTCTGATCACCTGCACCCGTTCATGTCAGTTCTGCATCCCCACAAACGTGGGCAATTGCAGCAGGACAATGCGACAACCCACACGACCAGAATTGCCACAGAGTGGCTGCAGGAACACTCTTCTGAATTTAAACACTTCCACTGGCCACCGAAATCCCCGCACATGAACATTATTGAGCATATTTGGGATGCCTTGCAACGTGCTGTTCAGAAGAGATCTCCACCCCCTCGTACTCTTACGAGTTTATGGAGAGACCTGCAGGATTCATGGTGTCAATACCTCCAACACTACTCCAGACATTAGTTGAGTCCATGCCGCGTCGTGTTGCGGCACTTCTGCGTGATAGGCAGATGACACGATATTCGGCAGGTGTACCAGTTGTTTGGCTCTTCAGTGAATTTATTTATGTTAGTTCCGTCACCATGTTACAGAGTAGAGTCACAAGAAGACCTAAATCTTCAATTCATCGTTCCTTCTAACCACCCCCATATGTATCTTCACTATACTCGGTACATTCCTCTCACATCAACTTTAGATCACTCATGTACCCCTTCAAGGACATCCGCACCGTATGATCCTCTAGATGTTTTCTCAAAGGTTTATTACAGGTTCCCCGAAACGCTCATTGTAGATTTCCCCAAATCTTCGTCACAAGCTCACTGCATGTTCCCGCACTTGTT